CAAACTCACAACCTTCCAGCTTGGGCGTTAGGGCCATTAAGAACATGTTATAGTGCTGCAGAGATTTTGCTTATGGAACGGGTTTGAGGCCAGTTTATCACCAGATTTGAGAGGCTTGCACTCCCAACTCAGCAGTTAAGTCAAATTTTCTGCCAAACCCTATAGGATCTTGGAGCCTGCTTTAGAAACAATGAAATGTATTTAGAATTTAGATCAGTCTTACCTCATGTTCTTAATTCACATTTTGGTGAAGCAGTATCCTGGCCATTGACTCCCTCTTCCTGTGGGTTTGGGTTTACCTTCAGCGGCTGTCCAGAGCGGAAGTTTCAGGGAAGGGACCAGAGCCCTGGGGACTTTCCTCAGGTGATGGTGATGGAAGAAGAGGCAAGGCAGGACAGGAAGGCTCAGGTAAGAAAGACTATGCAGGTGCAGGGGCAGGAGGAGAAGGAACAGTTGGAGGCAAAAGAGACAAAACCTCCTCAATATTTCTCAAATCAGAAAACGTGTCAGTTTACCTCCTTCAGCTTCCTTCCTCAATGGAGGCAATTTTCTCAGTTCTTTCAGAAATGTTAGAAATTTAGAAACTTTGAGTCTCATTAGATGCCATTTATTTATCTGGTTTTAAAACCAAATTTCTGGGTTTGTTTGTTTTGTTTTGTTTTGAGACATAGTCTCACTCTGTCGCCCAGACTGGAGTGCAGTGGTGCGATCTTGGCTCACTGCAACCTCTGCCTCCCGGGTTCAAGCAGGTGCTGCCTCAGGCTTCTGAGTAGCCTGGATTACAGGAGCCTGCCACCATGCCCAGCTAATTTTTGTATTTTTAGTAGAGACAGGGCTTCACTATGTTGGCCAGGCTGGTCTCGAACTCCTGACCTCGGGCTCCCAAAGTGCTGGGATTACAGGCGTGAGCCACCGCGCCCAGCCTAGCAAGATAATTAAACCATTCTAATTTGTCAAAGAGTCACTGATGTTTAAAAAATCATGTAATGGGCTGGGTGCGGTGGCTCCCACCTGTAATCCCAGCACTTTGAGAGCCATGGCAGGTGGATCACAAGGTCAGGAGTTTGAGACCAGCTGGCTCAACATAGTGGCTCCTGTCAATCTATAAAAATACAATAACCAGGGTATGAGTGGTGTGCACCTGTAATCCCAGCTACTCAGGAGGCTGAGGCAGCAGAATCACTTGAACCCGGGAGGCAGAGGTTACAATGAGCCAAGATTATGCACCACTGCACAACTAGGCGACAAGAGTGAAACCATCTCAAATAAAATAATAAATAAATAAATAAATAATGTAATGAACCTTTTCATCTCTTTACATATTAAATATTTACATTATTTAAATTGTTCAAAAGCATCAAAGATTCTTCTCTGCTATCAACTTCATTTCATTTATTTTGTTGTACCAAACTATCAAGACCATTAATTTAATCTACAGCTAAATCTATTATTTTTTCATGTTAGAAATTCAACAAGAAAATTTTTCCCTAATAAAACCTCACATTTCAAGCATAAGTGGCTGGGCGAGGTGACTCACACCTGTAATCCCAGCACTTTGGGAGGCCGAGACAGGTGCATCACTTGAGGTCAGGAGTTTGAGAACAGCCTGGCAAACATGGTGAAACCCAGCTCTACTAAAACTATAAAATAATTAGCTGGGCATGGTGGCGCTTGCCCATAATCCCAGCTACTCTGGAGGCTGAGGCAGGGAAATAGCTTCCAACCTGGGAAGTGGAGCTTGCAGTGATCTGAATCTACCACTGCACTCCAGCCTGGGCTACAAACAGACTCTGTCTCAAAGTAAATAAATAAATAAGCATAAGTAGTAAAAAAAATAAAATGAAATAAAAAATAAGGCACAGGGTCTTGCTCTGTTATCCAGGCTAGCGTGCAAGCGGGGCTATCATGGCCCCAGCCAGCAGAACTTCACAGGCTCAGGCAATCCTCCTGGCTCAGCTTGCCTTGTATATTTTTAGAGATGGGGTCTTGCCCTGTTGCCCAGGTTGGTCTCAACTGCTGGCCTAAGCAATCCTTCTGCCTCAGCCTGTTGAGTTGCTGGATACAGGCACAAGACATGCAGCCTAGCATTGTAGTAAAACAATTTTCAATAAATTCTTAATTTTCTTTCTTTCTTTAATTTTTGAGTTAGAGTCTTACTCTTCACCCAGGCTGGAGGGCAGTGGTGCAATCACAGTTCACTGCAGCCTGCCTCAGTCTCCTAGTAGCTGAGATTACAGTCATGCAGTATCATGCCCAGGCCAACTTTAAAATATTAACTAATACTTAAAAATTTGCAAGACAGGATTTCACTATGTTGCCCAGGCTGGTCTCAACTCCTAGCCTCAACTGATCCTCCCTCCTCAGCCTCCTAAAGTGCTGGGATTGCAGATCTGAGCCACCATACCTGGCTTAATTTTCTTATTTTAATTTTATATTAGTGATTATATTGTTCCTAGATGGTGGGGCAGTGACTCCTTTAAAATTTCAGAGACCTAATTTGTCTATTCACTTCACTGAAAGTATGCCAATTTGTTTATGAAAATATCCTATATTTATAAAGCAGAAAAATTCCTTCCATCAAACTATGGGGTATTCTAAAGAAACGAGAGTGTACTAAGTAACATTACTTAAGGTGAAAACAGAGGCAATGGTATCTATTAACAATGTTTATCAGTGAAATAAACTGAAAATATTAAGCATCATTAGATCCTTGGAGGCCTTCGCCATGAAAATCTGAAGTAATATTGCGATACCCTTTTGAGTTGGGCAGGACATTCTCTTTCCAGGGCATAGAACAGTGGGTGAATAATTTCTTTTCATTCATTTTCACCTAATCACTGAATTTCCTTAATGTTCTGCGGGAATTATTACGTTTGATTTGTATCGTTGTGAAAATTACTCATATTGCTGATTCCATTGCTTATATGTGATCATATAAAATCTTTTCTCTCCTTTTCTGTAGTGTAGTTCAAGCAATCTTAAAGGACATGTATTTGAATTTTTCAGCTGGTTAGAATCCTGAATATACCAATCAAAGAAAACTGCTCCTTACATGCTACAGATTTAGTTTTCTAGTGGACTAAGATGTCTTTTAGATAAACAAATTTGTTAAGGCCAAGAGCTCTATGGAATGAAGTTGGGTGGGAGGACATTGAGTAGTAAGATCCTCTTGCTAATAGTGATGTCGCTCTTGCAGATATTGACAACTACTGGGCCCATAAAATTTTGCAAACTTTGGAAAGACAAGATATGAACAACTTACCATTGCTGCAGTCTCAAATATCAGGAAATATCATTATTCTCAGGACAATAATTAGACAATGAAGACTCACAGAGCAGATTAGCTGTCATGTATCACCAAACAGAGACTGGATCCTTGTCGCCCACCACCCATCAGAGATTGTCCCCAGAATTCAATTCCTTAACATCAAGAGCAAAACCCACTGGTGGCAAAAAATAATGATGCAATAATGAGAGAGAGAGAGAGACCCTGTCCTATAGCCATACTTAGCGGGGAAAAGCCAGGCTCAATTTCTGCTCCTGATACTTAATAGAACAGAGGGAACATAAGCCAATAGCTCAATGGGTCCAGATCTGCACTAAGTGCACCTGTTTGAGCAGGATTCTACTGTCTCCAATATTATGTCTCAGATGGGCTGAATTGTTTTGTTTTGTTTTGTTTTGAGACAGAATGTCACTCTGTCACCCAGCCTGGGGTGCAATGGCACGATCTCGGCTCACTGCAACCTCCGCCTCCTGTGTTCAAGAGATTCTCCTGCCTCAGCCTCCTGAGTAGTTGGGATTACAGACACATCCACCAAGCCTGGCTAACTTTTTTTGTATTTTTAGTAGAGACGGAGTTTCACCATGTTGGTGTTGTCGAACTCCTGACCTCAGTTGATCAGAAGTAGAGTGAGTCAGAAAAACGTACCCTGGGAGAGGCTGGCACAATACCCAGAAACCGCCATCACAGTACGGGGTTTCTTCCTTGGTGCAATTACAACCTTGGTGCAGGCTAGAACCAACAATATGCTACATTAAAAATTCCGTAAATTTAGTGCCAGCCCCAAAGTGCTCAAAAGCCCTTAGAAATGCAACTGTTGTCAGAATTTTCCTTACCAAAATTTAGTCAGGCATAAATACTGTGAAGGTGATCAGCGGGAGCCTGAAGAAAGGAGACGAGGGAAGGACACTGGCGCCAGAAATAGGAAAGGGCTGCTTGGGGGTGGGAAGGATGGGTAGAGGTGCTACCGAAAGTTCCCTGATATTGGATGTAGAATATGCAAGCGAGACATCAAACAAGAAGCTGTCGTTTAAATAAAGACTGAAGAAAAACTAGATATGTAAACGGCAAGAAATAGTAAGGAAACTGGACCCGGCTCCTCCATAAAACTTCCCGCCTTATATTTCAGGAGGATCTCCAAGCGCCTGACCCCGGTCAGAAAGGTGGGACTGCGGTTCTGACCTGCGGAGCCTCGATGAATGATGCGTTAGGGCTCCTGGGGGGCGGGAGAGCCGTTGACTTACACAAAGTAGCGTGTATTGTATCTACAACCAAGCCGGGACACTAAGAGTCCCAAAGACCGTGCTTTCTTCCCAAAGAACAGCGCCGGTCTGCATGGATTTGTACACCTAGCTCTACAAGTGAGAACAGATTCCCCGCTAGCACAGAAATCCACAACTCCTAAGGGGTGGTGGAACAGAGGCTGTGTAAAGAGACTGGAGAGCTAGGAAAAACACAAAGAGATTTTTGCACGTGGGAGACGCAGAGACTGGAAACCACGGATCAACGCAGCCCCACGTGGAGCTGTGCAGCATTAGTGTTCGCGGTAGCTAGGTTGTAGCAAACCTAACGCTTCTTACTTTTGCTTTGGCAAAGAGGCGACGTTTCTTCTATTCCCCACGGCTTCAGTGGTATGCTTACCAACAACCAACACAAAAACCAGTTAAAAAAAAAAAGTAATCATCGGCTTTGACAGTATGTTTCATCAAACTACAAAGTCGGAAAGCGCGAACACAGTCTCCACATTTACCACAAATTTTGCAGTCAGTTTCCCCATTTGGGGGGAAATCGCGAAGTCAGCACATCCGGAGTGCAATACATAAGCCTCCCCCTGGGAAAACCACCTTCGTAATCACAGTACCTCCCCAGCCAGTTAAATATGGTGCCTGCACCTCCGCCCCGCCACAACCTCATACGCCTCACCCTTTGCACACACGGTCACTTGCCCCGCGCCTCCCGAGTCCTTCTAGCTGACAGACCGCTGGGACTCCTGAGTCCGATGGCAGTCCTGAACCCGCTCCTACAGCACAGGAACTCCTTCGTGGGAAGCAGCAGGTGGGGGAAAGCAGCAACCCTGCGCTGCCTCATCTACATAAAAGTCGCCCTCTCCGTGATGTCACTGATGCCTTCCCAGTGCACCTCTGCTTTTCTGCCATTCAGCAGACCAACCCGCTACCAGAGCCCACAAGGAAATGATGTCTACCATCTCCCTTTTCCTTCCGCCCACAACTGTTCCCTTCCGAAAAGAAGCTGCTACTTAGCCTGTGTTGCGGGAGCAACCTTTGGGCAACCAGATGGAGCCTGCAACCCTTCTTCAAATAATGGCTTTTAATTCGCAGACTAGAACGTTTAGGATTACAAAAGAAACCGGTTCTCTTCATCGGTAACCTTGTGATGTAGCATTCAACGAAACTGGAAGTCGTTCAATGTCAGAGAGAAACCATACTTATGAAAGTAAAGAGACTGCTCAGATGACTGTAAACCAGCCTTCCTTGCTGGTTTATCACTGGTAATGTTGAGGCCAACAAAGACAGTTCTCCAGTTTCATGAATCTTGTAGTTTTTATTTGTTTTAGACACAGAATTTATTTCTGGACGCATTCTGCAGGCTTGAGGTCCCGGCTGGCACAGGAAACCACACCTTGGAGTTTTGCAAACATCTCCCAGCCCTCCGGCCGGCCCATCTTGACCGAGGCCGCTATGCCATGCCTCAGAGCGTCAAGCGCCGATCCGTGGTGTCGTCGTGCCCCAGAGTCAGGCCTCTGGCGCAGCTCCACCTGAAGTAGTTCAAGGATCGTGGAGCTTCTCATGGACCTGGCGATGCAGAAGTGGAGCCAAACACTGCCCGACAACAGCTACAGTGAAGCGTATTATCCGACCTTAGCCTCCTATTCAGGGGGAAGGTGCCGGAGGATTGAGCCTGACTGTAGGCAGCGGCGGTCAGGCCAGTGACACTGGCAATGCTGGTGAGTAGTGTAAGGCTGCGGTGCTTAATGTCCGGTGCCATCAGGGATATCCCAGTCACGTGAAGAGCTGCCAGACCCTGGCCATAACCCTGATCCTTTTTTTTTTTTTTTTTTTAATGTTGTTGTTACTGTTTTCCAAATTCAGTACTATGAAAAATATGCTGCCCCTGAAGAGATGATTGGACACTCTCAAGCCTGGTGTTGGACTTTGTCATCTCTTTTCAATATCTCTGAACCTTAGTGCTTACCTCATGTTAGTTTTATATTCTGCAGAATAAACAAAATAATCCAAATCAACTATTACCTGGGATCCATTTGTCTGGATCATCTTTTCTTATATTGGATTATAGCATGAAGAAACACTGTGAAGTAAGCAAGGTTAGAATGCCCAAGTCAAAAGACCATTTGAATATTTAGGTAGATTTGAGACAGGAATAATGCAGGTGGAGTGCAGGATAACAAATTCTGGGCAGCAGATTTACTGAAAAAGCTTGAGGCTATATAAGGCTATTAAGGCTGAAAAACCAGTGTGGACCAAGCTGTCTAAGGACAGCTGGACCCAATGTGGTGAGATTTGATCATACGAGTTTACCTAGACCCTCATTATATGCTCGTGCCTGCTAAATCCACACCCACCAGTGCCATGACAGTTCTGAGACTAATGTTTGAGTCACTTAAAAATGGATGGCACAGTTCTGAGACATTCCATCTTTACCAGGAATTATGTGAATATTCCACTCCTTTAGTTTCAAAAGCCATCAAGATGAAAGTCAGTGGATGGAAAATTATTAAGAGGAACTTGATTAGCTACCAAGGTGGTTGGGAAAGACTCTTTACTACAACTAGGCTCAAGCGGTATTCTTTTCTAAAACTGGACTTGGCAGGCCAAACTAATAGAGAAAGGGCTCAGAGAAGCAGTATAACGTTTGGTAAAAGATGGAGTCCTTGTCAACTCTACATTGGAAGCTTTTGCAAATAAACAAAGACCAATGGATAAAAAAGCAGAGGCTATTTATTCTGAGCTTGCTATGATCAGCCACTATTACTTGTGTTTTGGCAGGAAACTTGAAGGCAGGCAGAAGGAATTGGAGCTTTCAAAAGAAGAGGGCTTTAATTATGCTCATTGGAAGCTGTCAGCATGGTGAAGATGTAGATAGATGAAAAGAATCAAAACATTTTACCCCAGAATATGTGTCTTTGGCATATTTTAAGATGGCTGTCAGAGAGCCATTGCTAAACTAGGCTCAACGGTATTCTTTTCTAAAACTGGACTTGGCAGGCCAAGAACTAATAGAGAAAAGGGCTCAGAGGAAACGGTATAACGTTTGGTAAAAGATGGAGTCCTTGTCAACTCTATATCGAAGCTTTTACAAATAAACGAAGACCAATGGAATGGGAAAAAGCAAAGGCTATTTATTCTGAGCTTGCTATAGCACAGAGTCAGCCACTGTTACTTGTGTTTTGGCAGAAACTTGAAGGCAGGCAGAAGGGTGGGAAAGCTTTTTAAAAAGAAAGGCTTCAGGTATGCTCATTGGAGGCTGTCAGCATGGTGAAGATGTAGATAGATGAAGAAAATCAAAACATTTTACCCCAGAATATGTGTCTTTGGCATATTTTAAGATGGCTGTCAGAGAGCCAGCAAACAAGTAACTCTGCAAAACTGTCTTTTGTAGGGGAAATTTATACCTGCAGAGAATCTTCATTAATCCAGCCTTCCCTTGTCAGGATTGAGAGAGAAAAATAAGCCCTAGGCCCTACAACCAACTGAACGGACTCCTTTGAAAGCTGTTTCTGGCTGTGACAGGATAGGAGGTCAGACATACCCACTTAAGACTCCTCCCTCACTAACTGCCATTATGAGGCAGGAGAACAGCAGAGGGAACTGGAAGTTGGATAAAAGGCAGAATTAGTAAAAGCAGAAACAGAAGCAAGATGATGGGGCGGGAGAGCAAGAAGCAAGATAAAAAGCAGAAGTTGAGCAGCCAAAACAAAAAGTAAGATTAAAAAAACAAGCAAGTGCAGGCGCAGCCGCTCACACCTGTAATCCCAGCAGTTTGGGAGGCCAAGGTGGGTGGATTGTCTGAGTTCAGGAATTTGAGACCAGCCTGACCAACATGATGAAACCCCTTCTCTACTAAAAATACAAAAAATTAGCTGGGCATGGTTGTGCCTTCCTGTACTCCCAGCTACTCAGGAGGCTGAGACAGGAGAATTGCTTGAACCTGGGAGGCAGAGGTTGCAGTGAGCCAAGATCGTGCCACTGCACTCCAGACTGGCCAACAGAGGGAGACCCTGTCTTTAAAAAAAAAAAAAACAAAAAAAGTCAAGCAAAGACCCCATGGCCAGCAAGATCCAAACCAGTAAAGGGGCAGCTCCTCAGGGATAGGCGTGTGGATTAGAGAGAAAAAGTATCCTTAACATGACTTCATATGATAATCAGCTCATTAAAGCTGATGCATATGGACTGCATATCATGCATGTACTTAAAATTATGGGATGGAGGCAACATGCAAGCACACAAGGGCCAAAGTAACTAAGCAACTCGCCTATCAATCAAAAGGCAAACACTGGCTAGAGATTAGGCATCCTTGCCTGGGCGCGGTGACTCACGCCTGTAATTCCAGGACTTTGGGAGGCTGAGGCGGGTGGATCATGAGATCAGGAGATCAAGACCATCCTGGCTAACATGGTGAAACCCCGTCTGTACTAAAAATACAAAAAAATTAGCCAGGCGTGGCAGCGTGTGCCTGTAGTCTCAGTTGCTGGGGAGGCTGAGGCAGGAGAATGGCGAGAACCTGGGAGGCGGAGCATGCAGTGAGCCGAGATCGCGCCACTGCACTCCAGCCTGGGTGTCAGAGCAACACTCCGTCTCAAAAAAAAAAAACAACAACAAAGTACACCAAACTAATACTGATCTTATCTCCCAGTAAAGAGTTTAATTGACACAGGCCAGCCACAACCTGGCGGCGGGTGCGGTGGGAACCACAGAGTCACAGCGCAGCTGCCTGCGCTTTGCTGGTTCCTCGCAAACTGAATAAACGGCCCCTGAAGCTTCTCTTCAAGTCACAGGGAAAGGGAAGGTGGCTGCCGACCTGGCGGGAGAAGCCGCGTCGAGAGAAGCTGGCCCTGCCAGACTAGAACGTTTAGGATTGCAAAGAAAACCGGTTGCTTTCAAACCTGTTTGTCTTTGTAATGTAATATTTCACTTAAAGTTGAAAGCCGTTCAATGTCAGAGAGAAACCATATCTATGAAACCAGAGAGGCTGTTCAGATGGGTACAAACGAGCTATCCTTACTGGTTTTACCACTAGAAGGGTTACAAAGACAGTTGTCCAATTTCATGAATCTTGAAGGGTGTTTGTTGTTGTTGTTGTTTCAAATGTGGTGAAATACAAAAATATGTGGCCCGCGCAGAGATGATTGGACACTCTCAAGCATGGTGATAGACTTTGTCATCTCTTCCATGGCCATCTCAGAACCTTAGTGCTTACCTCATATTAGTGTTTTATATGCTCCAAAGACCAAATAATCCTAATTAGACAAAAAAAAAAAAAAAAAAAAAATCTAGGGTGTGTCTTATTTGAGATGCTTAACAAATGACTGGATCATCTTCCTTGTATGTAACCCAGAAAACACTATGAAGTACAGCAAAATTGGAAAGCTCAAGTCAAACACCATTGAACATTTACAAGTAGATTCTATTCTGTTGCTCAAATCACAAAACATAAAATGGAGGGGTCTCCTTTGGAGACCATAAAGTCTGTGACATGGTGGCCAGTTAGGTCACTGGAAAGCATAGCAAAATATTGAAAATGAGGGATTAGGTAAGAGGGTAGCAACTGAATACTAAATGCTTGATCCAGATGCCATTCCCTGGATACTAACAGGGAGACCCATTGTCCAGGTAATATTGGAA